ATGGAGATGGATTGGGATTGGGGGTCTTTGGGCACGGTGGGATGGGTTGGAGTTGTAGATGGATTGGGAATGGAGATCTTTGGGGACAGTGGGATGGGTTGGGGTTGGAGATGGATTGGGATTGGGGGTCTTTGGGGCACTGTAGGATGGATTGGGATTGGGGGTCTTTGGGCATGGTGGGAGATGGGTTGGGGTTGGAGATGGATTGGGGTCGCACTCGATGACCCCCCACCTCCCCCCCCTTTGCAGGTCCTGGAAGATGAGCAGGCGGCTCGCTACGTCCACGGCATCGGCATCCATTGGTACCTGGATTTCATCGGCCCCATCCAGGACACCGTGGTGCCCACGCACGAGCTTTACCCAGATATCTTCATCCTGGCCACAGAAGCCAGCGTGGGCTCCCATTTCTGGGAACGGGACGTCATCCTGGGCTGCTGGGAGCGGGGCAACCAATACAGCCACAGCATCCTGACGGTGCGGACCCCCACCCCAACCCCCCCCCACCCCCAAAGTTTGGTGGGTGACCACGTTTGTGCCCTCGACTTTGCAGAACCTGAACAACTACGTGACGGGTTGGACCGACTGGAACCTGGCTCTGGATTTGGAGGGGGGGCCCAACTGGGTGAAGAATTACGTGGACAGCCCCGTCATCGTGGATAGCAGCCAGGGCATCTTCTATAAGCAACCCATGTTCTACCATATGGGGCACTTCAGGTGGGTTTGGGACCCCCACAATCCCCCCCTCCTCATCTTTCCAGCACCCTAAGCTGTAACCCGCAGCAATAGGAACGGGGCAACGGGGGGGGGTCACCCCCACCCATGGGTGCAGCCTTGGGTGCAAACCCTGCTTTCCCATTGCAGTAAATTCATCCCTGAGGGCTCCCAACGCGTGGGGCTCGTGGCTTCCAAAAAATCCAAGAAAAGCCCCCTGGAATACACAGCCTTCCTGCGCCCTGATGGGGCTGCTGTTGTGGTGGTCCTCAACCGGTGAGCTCCGTGTCCCCCCCC